GATTTCACTCCGCCCGACTTTGCAGTAGTTCTTCAATGCCTGGAGAGGCCCTTTAAGCTGTTGCATTGGGTTGTCGCTCGGGGGGGGGGGGGGCAGGGCCGACATTCATTTAAGGTAGTGGTGGAACCTCAGCCAATGGGTGTTGTTCCCTCCAGAACCATTCCTACGCTCTGATTGGCCCACTGTGCAAAGCAGCCAATCAGAACGTGCACTTTAGAATACCAGGATTCTATAAAGCCTTGTCAGAAGCTCGGGCATACTTGTAGCATTACCGTGTAAGAATAAACAAGTGTCGTTCAATACATAACCTTTGCCTGCTTGGGACCAATGGGATTCGTTCCCGCCAGAATCAGAGTCCCCCTGGATTGGTCTGTCTCGCAACAGGGACCAATCCGAAAGCCGGGTTTGCAATACCTTGTGTCTATGGAGCTTCTAATGCTAATGTATTGAACCGTACCATACGTAACCCCCTGTCCGTGCTTAACAGGAACTGGTTGGCCACTGTGTGAGAGGATGCTGGACTAGATGGACCACTGGTCTGAGCCAGCAGGGCTTTTCTTATGTAAGGGTAAAGGTAAAGGTTTCCCTTGCTCGAAAGCCAGTCGAGTCCGACTCTAGGGTTGCGGTGCTCATCTCCGTTTTAAAGCCGAAGAGCCAGCGCTGTCCGAAGACGTTTCCGTGGTCATGTGGCCGGCATGACTAAACACCAAGGCGCACGGAACGTTGTTACCTTCCCACTGAAGTGGTACCTATTTATCTACTTGCAATTTCTTGCTTTCGAACTGCTAGGTTGGCAGGAGCTGGAACTAGAGATGGGAGCTCACTCTGTCATGCGGCACACTCGGGTCTCGAACTGCTGAACTACCGACCTTCCACAGCCTGCAATTCAGCGTCTTAACCACTTAATGGTGAATTGTGGGTTTTTTTCAGGGTGGAGAGTTGGAATTTAACCTCAGATAGTACAAACTGATAGTGACTGTAAATAAATCTTTGCCCTGAAGTGTACTTGTTGAAAATGAGGCTCCCAAACGATTATTTAGTCGCAGGATTTGCCCTGGGATGAATTCCCCCATCTCAACGGGAGGAAAGCGTTATAAGGGCTGTTATCCCATGAACACTTTCTGAGGAGGAACTCTCATTAAACTTGGTAAGGCTTACTTCTGAGTAAACACACACGGGAGTATGCAATAACACCCTTCACACATTTTAGCCGCCTATCTCCCTGAGACCCTAAAGCAGCTTATGTTGTTCTCCTCTCCATTTTGTCCTCACAAGAACCCTGCGAGGTAGGCTAGGCTGAGAGTGTGTGACTGAGCCAAAGTGACCCAGCGAATTTCCGTGTCAGGGTGAGGATTCAAACCTGGGTCTGACAGATCCTAGTCTGACATGTAACCACCGTACCTCGCTGGTTAATATGAGGTGAAGTTTGAAATGGCAAATTTACTCTGGAGAAGAGTAAACTGGCTGCTAAATTAATTGCAACCAGCAGAAGGTGACTGAATGCCAGCCTAAATCTACCTGTGTAAAAGGAGGAAAGGTAGGACTCACTTCTCTAGGGGGTGGTTCCTTAGGACAGTTCTGGCAACAAACTTTTCACTCTTACCCATCCAATATACCCTGACTTTGAATCCAGCCCATGCTTTAATGTACAAACATTTATTCACTTCGTGGAGGAGGATGGAGTTTGGGGAGGAGAGTTACCTCAGCAGGGTACAACGCCATAGAGTCCACCCTCCGAAGCCGCCATTTTCTCCAGGGGAACTGATCTCTGGTGTGTGGAGATCAGTGTAATCCCAGGAGATCTCCAGCAATCTCCTGGAAGTTGGCCTGAAGGGTCCAGGGAGTGCTTTTAGGTTTGAGAACTGCAGCATTGCAAACACTGCCCTCTTTCTAGAGGTGCAGAATTGGAGGGTATGATGCAGGCTGCCCTGACTTCTTTGGAGGAAGCATGAGATAGCATCGGCAGGAGTAAGAATAGTAATGCATATGATAAAGCAAGCAGTAGCTCACAAAGGCCTCTGCCTTCACGGGCTAGTTAGCAATTGGCAGGGGTCATTTTGTAGAAAAAGAGGTGCAGGAGCTCATTAGCATGACTCATTAGCATAACTCATTTGCATATGCCACACCCCCTGACATTACCGGAAGTGTGTCAGAAGGCAACACCCACTGCTCAGGCTCCACTGGACTGTTCTGGATTGCTAGCTATTGGGGGGGGGGGAACATGCAGATCTGTCCTCGCAGAGAGCTTGTACCGGAATAAACCTTGGCCTTAAAGGTGCCAGTGGACTGTTTTGGACCGGGGGGCCGGGGAGAGCTCTGCAACTTACCTGGCTGCTTCTTGCTCTGACTGAGGGCTGCTGGGAACAGGGGGTGGGGCTTGTTATATGTGCCCGCCCCGTGGGCTCTTTACTGCCGGAGCTCCGCTCCTGTGCGCTCCTGCTGGAAATGACCCCTGGATTGGTGGAGAACCTCTCAGTCTTCCTGGACATTCTGACTTGAAAGTTACAATGCTGCAACCAAATCTCCAAGGGAAGCTTCCTCCACCCACCAGTTGAACAAAGACTTGGGGGGGGGGTGTCTCTCATTAGAGTTGCAAGCTTCAGGTTGGGAAATACCTGGAGATTTGTGGAAGGGGAGGGGCTTCTGCCCTAGAACAGGGGTAGCCAAACTGTGGCTTGGGAGCCATGTGCTGCTCTTTCACACATATTGTGTGGCTCCCGGTAGTCTTCCCTTCCCCAGCGTGCCTCCCGATCAGTCTTCCCTTCCCCAGCCAGTGGTCCCCTCCCTGGGTAAACTTAAGCTGGGAGGGAGCAGAGAAAGAAAGCAACTTTAACTTTAAATGTGTTCTCAAAGCCCCCCCCCCACAAATATCATTGAATAAATAAATATCATTATCGACATCTGTTTTTCACCCCTTTTGTTTTTATTTTCGTCAGTCTCCTTGAATGTGAATGACAAGCAAATCTGCATATTTTTCAGTAAAAATGTGGGTAATATTTGTTCACGCCTTGTGGCTCTCAAACATCTGGCGTTTATTCTAGGTCAGTGGCGGTGAACCTATGGCACGGGTGCCAGAGGTGGCACTCAGAGCCCTCTCTGTGGGCACGCGTGCCATTGCCCCAGCCAGGCCCAGACCATCAATAAAGTATTGGATTCTCTGCCAAATAATTTTAAGTAAATGAGAGCATTTGGGATGGCTTTCCTTCCTTTGGTTAATGTATGAGTTGTTTTTTCTAAAGTAAAACCTCAGTATTCAGGTTAAATTGCCGTGTTGGCACTTTGCGATAAATAAGTGGGTTTTGGGTTGCAGTTTGGGCACTTGGTCTCTAAAAGGTACGCCATCACTGTTCTAGGTGGCTCTTACGTTAAGCAAGTCTGGCCACCCCTGCCCTAGAGTCCACCTTCCAAAGCTGCCATTTTCTCCAGGGGAACTGGTCCTGTCATATGCAGATCGGTTGTCATTCAAAGAGATCTCCAGGCACGACCTGGAGGTTAGCAACCCAATATCTCATTCAGTGTGTTAATGGTATGGCTGCCAGCTCTGGCTTGAGACATTCCTGGAGATTTAGGGGTGCAACCTCGGGAAAGTGGGGTTTACTGAGGGGAGAGACCTCAGCAGGGCATAAGGCCACGGAGTCCACCCTCCGAATTTATTTATTTATTTATTTATTTAGGGATTTATATCCCGCCCCATCCAGTATTCAGCTCGGGGCGGCTTACAAAAGTTAAAAATACGTACAAACAACAGCATAATAAAACAATATATCTAACATAAAATTTGGTGCTAATTGATTTCCATAAAAATCCGAGATGGTCAACATCTTTCTCCCAGGGGACCGATCTTTCTCCCAGGGGACCGATCTCTGCAGTCCAGGGATCATTGGTAATTCTGGGAGAACTCCAGCCCCTCTCTTAACAGTTTTAGCAAAATCTGAAACCCCAGTTCAGTACCTAGTGCGTGGTGGATGGGTCCATCAATAGCTATTAGCCATGGTGACTAAGGGAGCCTCCATGTTCAGAGGCAGTCAACCTCTGAATTAATAGTGCAAGGAGGCAGCATCAGGGAAAGGCCCCGGCCTCTATGCCCTGTTGTTGGCCCTCCAGAGAAACTGGTTGGCCAGTTTGTGAGACAGGATACTGGACTAGATAGACTGCTGCTCTGATCCAGCAGGGCTCTTAGTATACTTTTTGAATTTTACATAATTACATTTTACCATGTACAGTCCCCGCCGTTTGTTGATCATAGCTAGGGTTGCCAACTGAGGTTTGGGAAACACTTGGAGATTTGGGGGGGCGGAGACTGGGGAGGGAGAGGTTTGGGAGGGGCAAGACCTCTGTAGGGTACAATGCCACAGAGACCACCATCCAAAGGAGCCATTTCCTCCAAGGGTACTGAGATCTGTCGCCTGGAAACTGGCAACCCAGCCCTATGTAAATGACTGCATAGCGACAAGGTACGTTCTGTTATCTCAGCAAGTGGGATCTGTAGTCCAAGAAAGGTTATGCTGGCATAAATCCCTGCTAGTTTTCAAATACGCCACAAAACTCTCTAATTCATTGTTTTGCTGCAACAGACGGACTACAGCTTCTCCACCGGACTTACAGGCCTCTTCTTTATTTTATTCTTTTCGGTAGTAAAAACGAAATTAGCAATAATATCGTAATCAATTAATTATAATACAGCCATGCCTTTGAGCATGTGCAGAGCGCTCCTCCCCAGCCGCCGCAATTTTGCGGTTGCCGGTGCTAAGCAACTCCGGCCAAACGTTTGCGAGGAAAAGAAAGAGTCGAGGCCGAGAGCAAGAAAAATGATCGATCCGGCCGCCACCCAACCAAGAAAAAAGGACCCGCCCCCCTTTGGCACGCCGCTGCCCAATCCGCTCGAAGCAGCACAAATCTCCCGCCCCTCCTTTTGATCCCACCATAGCGACCAATCGGGTGCGAGCGGGGGGTCCGCCCTCCTCCAATGGGAGGAGTCCGTCTTAGTAACGGAGCTGCCAATGGTGGTGGAAGTCGGAGTCCCTGGTAACGGAGCCGGGGCTCGTCCGGACGGGTTCCCTGCCATGTGGAGCTGCGGGGGTCGCCGGCGGAGGCGACTCTTGGGGGGCGTCTTCCTGCTTCTGCTGGGGGCCGTCGTGGTGCGCAGGTGAGAGAAAGACCTGACGAGGAGGGGGCGGGGCTACGGCGTGATATGCTAATTAGTCCCTTGAGACACGCCCCCGGAGGGTTGGCCACGCCCACACCTTATGTGGAAAAGACCCCCTAGTCTGTCCACCAATGGGCTTCCCTGTAGAATCTTACCTACAGTTTAGCCACGCCCTTTTAAAGCCAATAGACACAGCCCCCCCCATTCCTTTCTCCTTTAGGCTAGCTAATAAACGCTTTTCCATAACCCCATTTTTTAGAATTGGGGGGGGGGGCTCTTTAAAACTTTTCTGTCCAGCCCCCCCTTTAAGGAAAAATATCCCCCCACCTCATTGAGCCCCCCTGCTCTCTTTCTCTGGATCCCCCCCATTGCCAATAATTCAATGGCAGGGTTGTCAACTGACCAGGAATCTCCTTTTGCTGCGCCAGTGCCTTTCAGAGCAGCCTGGTGTCAGCCTGCAGATGCAGCGTGAGTCACCTGCAGATGTGATCATTAAGGAGCTGGCTTGCAAATGCCCCCCCCCCCCCGTGTATGGGGAAAGGCAAGGGGCATAAATATTTTAAAGGAGGGGGGAAAAATCTGCTGATCAAGCTGGTGCTAAAAGCTTAAGACAGAAGCAAGGGGGGGGGGGTGCTTACATTTTTAAAGTTTGGCACGACTCCTGGCAGAAGCCTCTTGCTCCTGAAGGGAACGGATCAATAAAGATGGTTTTTTTAAAAGGATTGTTGTTAGGATGCGTAGGTGGCTCCAGAGGGCGGCTGCCGTGTTGGTCTGCAGTAAAATAGAACAAAGTCTGAGTCCAGTGGCACCTTCAGGATCAGCAAAGTTTAATTCTGGGTATAAGCTTTGTGAGGAAGTGTGCATGCACACAGAAGCTTAGAACTCAGAATTAAACTTTTGTTGGTCTTGAAGGTGCCGGTGGACTCAGATTTTGTTCTGTTGCTTCAGGCCAACACGGCTACCCACCTGCAATGAAACAGCACCTTAGAGACCAACATGAGTTTCGGGGTGTCACGTGGATGAAGGGAGCTTTGACTCTCAAACGTTTATACCCTGAAAACCTTGTTGGTCTCGAAGGTGCTCCTGGACTCAGCTCTAATTACGACAGGTAGGGTTGCCAACTGATCCCCTACCCAATCTGTCTGACTTGCTCTTGTGCCTTTGACAGAAATCAGCTGGTGATGCTCTTCACCTTTGCCTGGGACCCTGGAGAAGTGCTGCCAATCTGAGTGGGCAATACTGATCTTGCTAGACCAGTGCTCTGAGTCAGTATAAGGCAGCTTTGCATGTCCAACACGTGATCTGGCCTTCTTGGGAGCTGGAGCTGGTGAGAATCTGTCCTTATATATAATTGAATAGTGGGTGCCAAGGTTCTAATTCTAAAATGCACTCCCTTAGTGTATGGCTGATGGCACTGCTCCTCAGCATATATCGCCACCAATCAGAAGGCAAAGCCCGGGTCCCGCCCACACCACAACTGCTGCGACAACCTGGTCTTTTGCATATGGAAGCTGATTGGACTTCACTCCATTCCACACCTCAAACTCCCCCCCCCCGCAAGGCAGTTGGAATGTCAGTTGCATATGGAACCTGCTGTATTCTGGTGGTGTGCAGGTCCCAGATTCATGTTTTAAAAGCAGACTGACACTGTTTGCCCAAAGCCAGAGCACTCTCCCAGAGCCTCTTTCTAGATCTCGTTGTATTTATTTCCACAACGGGCCTTATTTCTAGTATTACATATTTATCATTATAATTAATGCATTCTGGAAGTATATTAAGCAAGAATATTTCTGGCACTAGTTCCAGTTTTATTTTACATATTTCTTGTATTATTTTCTGTATATATATCCAATTTTTTTTTATTTTTGGACACCGCCACCACATATGATAAAAGGTTCCAACACTTGTGGTGATGGTCTTCTTAAGCTTAATAGCTGCTCCTTGCTGCAGACCAACCTGCTGTCAATAGCATCGCTCCTGCGACAAGTTCAAACGATTCCGAGTCGGTAAGGTGCTCCTGGACTCAAATGTGGTTTGAAAGTTCAAAGTTTGACTCCGGTGGCATCTTTAAGACTAACAAAGTTTAATTTGCACTTCTTCAGTTGCCACCTGTACCCAATTGCACCTGTTTCACAAGGACAGCCGTGCTTTCCTCCCCCTGTCCCTCAGAGAGTGGGTAGGGGTGCCGTCTGCCTGGAGAAAAGAAGCCTGGTTCCCTTTAATAGAGGCTTAATGTGTGGGATTGGGCAGCTGAAGGGGTTTTTTTTCATGGCATGGAGGTAAATAACATCCCATGAAGCCTCTGCTAAGTGGACAGGGCATTTTTCTTGAGGCCAGCTGGCAACCTGAAACCTGCCACATTCCTGCCGAGCGGGTCAGGTGTCCCTTTCATTGGCTCTTGTGTTCATGTCTGCTTGGCATATTAAAAAGATGTAGGTCACCTGTTTTTGACCGGGTTTGTGGAACATATGCATACGTGAAGCTGCCTTACACTGAATCAGACCATCAAGGTCAGTATTGTCTACTTGGTCTGGCAGTGTTTCTCCCAGGTCTCTAGCTGAGATCTTTCACCTCCTACTTGGTCCTTTCAACTGGAGATGCTGAGGATTGAACCTGGGACCTTCTGCATACAAAGCAAGAGGCTCTTCCACTGAGCCACAGCCTTTCCCTTTGAACAGTGCTTTCCTCTGCAGCAGAGAACCTATGGAAATGTTTATAAGCCATGAGACCCTTTGCACTTTTTTGTGTGTGATTTCTTAAAGGCACAGGAGCAGTGGTCAGTTTTCTGAATGACTGGCAAGCATAAATGGAGCCACCTCTCCTACTGTTGCTTGGATTTCAGCCTAGCTTGTAAAAAAAGTTTCCTCTTCTTTTCTTCCTCTTCTGTTTGGTTGTGGAGGAGGGTGTGCATGTAGGCGTATTTTAGGTACACAGAAGTTGCTATTTAGGTGACCACCACTTCATGCATCTGACAAAATGGGCTTTGGCTCACGATGAACAGTTAATACTGCGATAAAGGTTTCCTGGTCTTTGGTGCCACGCACAACAAATATTGTGGCTTTTTCCTGGAATGGGTTAACAAAGCTACCCTTCTGGAATTTTGTCCTGATTTGAGAATTTTAAAACAAAGGATACTTAAAAAAAACCAAAAACCAACATTGGTATTTTGAGATGGTAAAATTGTAGCATGTAGAATTTTATGCTTTAGGTATCTAGAAGTGGTACCCATCTCTCCAATTCAAAGATTTATCTCGACTTCAAAGATTTATCTCGACTTCAGTGTGCGCTGTGCTCCTGCAACACAAAAGTACAATGTAATGCATAGCCTGCTGTTTCAACTGGTGAAGGTCCGTTTTGGATGGCTGATTAATATATTATAGGATAGTTCATGCGGTTTCCCCCCAGTATATATCTAGCCAAAAGAAAACTTCCTCTTTGTTTTTTACATTATTCGAGGAGGATTTCCTACACAGGCAATAGGGTTGTGCTATACAAAATGGTTCACAAAGTTACATGGATAAATTATTAGGGACTGTGGTCCGTACTACTGTGTACAGCTCGCTGTAAGTAGGATCCTGCTATGTAATTTTGCGTCATTTAATATGTCATGTTAACACTTAATGCTTTGCTTCAGTTCTGTTTTTAGACTTCTGGTTGGTTCCAGATTTCTGCAATCCTGATTCTATTGCATTGTTCATTGAATATCCCATCCTGTTGATTCCATTGACTCACTCGGTGTAAGCCGTCTGGAGTTCCAGTGAGAAAGGCAGACTGTACGTAACATAAATACAGTTATAAATAAAATAAACCGGAGCAGGACTGCAAATGCATTCAGTGCGCAGCAGGGCTCAGAAAAGAATTCTCAGCTGTGAGTCGGGGTGCTTCATGTCACCGAGCATTTTCATGTGCTTTATCTTTGGAGAGCCAGAGCCCGTGCAAGCCCCGTGGGCTTTCCTTGGCTTAATGGGGGTTTTATAGGATTCCCGACAAAATAACCCAAGTGGCCAGTCTGTTCCTGGAGCATGTCTTTGCGAGTGCTGCAGATAGACGAGGGATACTTTTCAGTCGCAGCCTGTTTCCTTGCTGATGGCCAGGGAGGAGAAAAGTGAGGTTTTGATAATATTCCAGATAGCACTTAGTGATCCTAAAGAGTTCATGTGTAACTTAGCGTAGCTCATTTTGAAGTGCATGGCATACTGGGGCTGGATGACACCCTGCTGTTTTGGATATCTTTGCAGTGGTGTCTTTTAAAAAAAGAATATAAGGACTTCTTTCTGTCTGTCTCACCTGCTGCTGTATAGCAGCCCCACGTGGTATTTGTGATCTAAATATATTTATCGGCTTACGTCCAACAATGTGCCATGGAAGATGCCCAGAGTTTTCTTGTGTTTGTTTCCGTTCCTGCCATCCCCCTTCTGTCTGCTGGGAAGTCATTGTAGAAGAATACTTCTTATGTAGAAGAATAGCCGCACAGAGCTCAGGAAGGCTGCAGTGAGGAGGGTTAAAATTACCCTAATTTCTCCTTGTGTCAGTTACCCTTCACTGCAGCCCCTCAGCTGGCGTGGCTATTTCTCCATATGGGTCCTGCAGCCCCAGGAATCATCTTCCCAGGGGTTGGGAGGGGCTTGGAAAATGGAGAGGAACATAAGCAACTCAGAGCTGCATGGATGCATTGTTCGACGCGGAACACTGTATCTCAAGGGGCAGCTGGCGAGGCATCGTGGTTGAGCTGCGATCAGAGAGGTTGCTGATTCAGATCTAACCATTAGGTGGCCTTTGGTAAATCTCCCAGCCTCAGCTGCCTCCCCTTCTGGATTATGGGGAGAAAATGCTGTCCTACCTTACAGGGCTGTTGTACCGATTGCCATATTATTTTATTTTATTATTTGATTTATTTGATTTATACCCTGCCCTCCCTCCCGAAGCAGGCTCAAGGCAGCTTACATAAAATACTGTCGCTAAAACAATATAGCTAAAAAAAACACAACACAAGGTGCTAG